TAATTTCTCACTGTCACTATCTTGTATAATCACAAAATTCTCATACTTCTTATTTCTTTTCAAAACTTTTGATATTGTTAGCTTATCATCATCATCCATAGGATCTTCAGCTTCCATAATGTTGCATTTCGGAGCAAACCCAGGAGGTACAAGGGGACGGTTAACCATCAATGGCGACCGATCGGCACCCTTTGCTTTCTTTTTCTGTGGACTAGCAGCTTCACTTGCATCTTCAAGGCCAGACACTGATTTCTTCCACCACTTGGTATACTTTATGCTAACATCGGCCTCGAAAAGCCTACATGGAAGATATAATTTCACATTCTTGATTTCATTGTTGTAATACTTCCAGGCTGTATCAGAATTGTGAAAAAGTCGTGCAATAGAACATGGAATGTCTTGATCAAATCCAAATTGCATAGCTACACGATGCGGTAGGTAGTGCTCAATGGTACCAAGACCAACTAGCTCACTTACTCTCAAACATCTAATGAATGACAGTAATTCATCATTTGAATCAGAACCAGCCAAAACCCATGTTCCCTTTTGTGGATAGTATTCAGGCAAATGCAAGTTCTCAATGACATCCAAGGCGTAAGGGCGCCACTTGAAATCTCCTCCTGCTGAATCTAAAACCTTTCTCAAGTTTTCAACTTCCATGCCATTTAATTTATCCCATCTAGCCAATCTTGTCTCACCAAAATTTATAACATTCGCCTTTGGCCTAAATTCCAAGAATCTTTCCCACGCCCAAACCTGAAGTAAATGGAATGGCGACTTAAGGGTGACTTGTAAATCAGCACCTCCTATTTCCAATTGGTTTGAAGCTACAATTTTCCTTTTCAACAAACCCAAATCTTTGTAAATGCTAGCAAGAACAGCGGGTGCAAGAGCGATTTTAATCCCCCTAGCTAAATGAATTGCTATGGAGAATACAGGTCTATGTGTTACATCATTATGGTTAAAAACATACCTCGACAACCAATACACAAGAAATGCTTCATGCTCAAATTTGTGCCCGCTCTTAATGAACTTCTTCAACCACAAGCTTGTGTTGGACTTCTTAGCCGGACTCCTGTAAAATTTCTTTCTCTCTTCTAGTAGCTCCTCTTCAATTTCTTTAAGTTGTGTGGTTTCGAGAGGGCTTAAAACAGAGTCCCCCAAAACCGAGAAACTGCCTAAAACCATGACATCCTCCAATGTGATTGTTGCTTCACCCCATGGAAAAATAAACGTATTGGTTTCGGGACACCATTTCTCTGCAAGCCCGTACACCAAACTGTTTTGTCTTCGTATTTGGTGCGTTGAATTAAGGATTGCTTCATAAATACCAACCGCCTTCCATGAAGATTGGTGCACAGAAGCCATTTGATCAACCCAGGATTTCCAATCTTTTGTTCCTTGTCTCCATCCGTGGAACTCAACTTGCAAAGGCCATTTCTTTGGCTCGAAACGGGAAGGGATGGAGGAGAAACTGTGAGGGAGCTTAAAAGGAAGTTCATCAATGGTGGAAATTGGCAAAGTGGGTTTTAGAAAGTAGGCTTTTTTAAGAAAGGGGTTTCCACCGGATGGCGGAACCATCAACTCCTCCCTTTCTTCAACCATTGATTCCGGTGGGTTCTCCATCTCACCAAAGCTCAAGACCTCACTTTCCCTCTCGTTTTTTTGTTCTTTTCAGTTTTATGGGTTTGAATAAAACCTCAGGTCAAGCACAAAAGAAGTGTGAAAGGGGGTTCGATTGAATAATACGAAAAAATGGTTTATATGAGCGCGAACGTCCAATCGTATGCCGTTTAGAGCGCCCTTACGGCTTCTACGCAAAACAAAATCAACATGAAACACTGCAGCGTTTTTGTTCACCATCATGTGGTATATATTTACCATCTTATTTAAATAAGTTTGAATTTTGAGATTCGTGTAGTGGATAAGCACAAATCTTAAAATTTAAACTCATTTAACAGTGATAAATACGGTGGTGAACAAAAATGCATGAATTTAAATTAAGTGCGCACTTATTTACCATATTTTCTCACTCATTTTAGGATAATAGTAGAGAGACTAAATTTGTAAAGTAAATTCTGTGCCAACAATAGAAATGGGCACATTTATCAACGTTTAAGTAATAAATTAATCATTAACTTCTATGTCCTTAAGTTTTCAAAATTTTGTGTACAAATTAAATCTTTCTAAAAGCATCTCTAAATGAGATGTCTAAATGTATAAATCATTAATAATGGTAATAAAAGAAAGCAGTAATGTTTTCCAACTGAAAAGTTAAATTTGATGTGGCATGACATAGAAAGACATAGCTTCTCCTTGCTGCCAAATTTGACAGCGCCTTCAAAAAAAAAAAAAAATTATTAAATTCTTTTGATTAATTTTTTTATTGATTCAAGGCATTGCCTTTTTGTTTTTTTTTTTTTCATTATCAATGCAATATTAAATAGTTTTATACCTTTTAATTCATTTTGTTTCATTCCCAATGCAAGGAAAGTAATATGATTTTTTGTTTTATGTTTAAAATTAGGCATATCGAATGAAGGGCAAAATTTTAAAAGATGTCAAAATGCCATATAAACCTTCAAATTTAAATTTTAGGTTTAAAATTTGACATCTTTGTCCACATGCCTGATGCAAATTTTCTTAGAACGCGGCTGCCGTCAGCCTTGCATCACTCCCCTTATAGGCACTCGGGCCTTGGACTTCCGCTAGAGCTTTCCAACGGGCTTCCCCTTAGCCCAATAGCCCAAATGGGCTGGCGCCACTTTGTAAGGCATTGGATTGGACTTGCAGTTAGTCCACAGGGTTATTGCCAACACTGGAGCTGCTCTAATAGAGATGAAAACCACATGCGTTGGTGGATCGTACCTCTATTAGAAAGATAATATAAGTAAATAGTAAATGTAGCACTACTTTATTTTATCGGGCCATGTACTGTGCGCAGTGAGTAGTTCAAATTTCAAAATTTGTATTCTCTCCCTACCCTCTTCGTCTTCCTTCTTCTTCCTCCCTAACTTTCTGAAAAAATGGCAGTTGACGAAGCAGCACCAGAAGCATCATCATCACGCCGCATATAAGAACAGAGAGAGGAAACCATGGTCTCTCCAAAACATAGTCACAAACAAAAGAGGAGACTCACAAGGTTCTTAAAGCCACGCTAACCGGTTTCACTACCGCAGTGGGTCCCCTAAAACCGCACTACTCTGAGAGGTCTTTCCTCACGACCTCTAGTAATGTCCATCGAAGGTGTTCTTCAAAGGATGGAAGATTCCTTAGGTAAAGTGGAGCCAATGGGTCGACAGGCTAGCCAGTAAAAACTGCTCCATCTGGAACTAGTCTGAAATTTGTGACGCAATTTTGAGCTCCGGATATGACATCAGGGGAACACAACAAGAATGTGGTTATTGGGTTGTGAAGAATGTTGAGGTTCCACAATAAAACTAATCGGTAATATGGAAAGTAATCCAACTACTTATAAGCAAGATCCCTCTTATCATTAATGTAGAATCTTATTCTCAACACACCGCCTCATTTATGGCGAACATGTAGCTTTCCTGTCGTTGTGGCTACAAAGGTTTGTTTTTGCTTCTCTTCCTGAGGATTGCATTGGTAAGAATGTTTTTCCAATTGCAAGCATGTTTGTCACAGGGGAAGAGGGATGCTCTTGCGCCCGCCAGTCCTTCCAAGTCTTTACAGAGACTTAGCTTGCTGAAGAAGCAAGCTCTTTCCTGTGGGGAGGAGGTTGTGGTTACTAGACCGTTTCAGTTCTTGCACTTGTGGAGAGGTTTCAACCCCTGATAGAGAGTCCCCCCGAAAGCTCTTAAACCTCGCGACACGAGCCTAGGGCCACCTGGTGGCACAAAGTAACTTCTAAATCAATTAATCTGCCTCTTGTGAGAACTGTTTTTATTAACAAAGCCTGAAGGATCTCTCCAGGATCCTATGGGGGTTTGATGACCATGAACGCAAACAACAAAAAAGGTGCTCTGGAAGAAGTAAAGAAAACAAAGCCTGATGACTGCATGGAGAGTGCTACGTATCAAACTCAGAGAGTTGGATTATTAACAAGGGTTGCGAATGTGGAGAAACTTCTGGGGGTAAACCCAAAAGAGAAACAAAATCCTTAGGCCACAATTGTTCATTATTATTAAATTTAAATTATGATAGTCGAAACAGGTTTGTTTGATATAAATTGTCGGCAAAGACTATTCTATAATCCAGGATAGATTTTAGATATAAAAGAACTGAAATGTGTGCTGACTTGCCGTTTTGATCCTCTCATTTTGATTTCACCCTTGGGTTGTTTTATTAATTTTTAATCTTGTCAGATAGAAGCTTCATTGGATCTAGAAACTTCTGTAAGGAGCTCTCACACCAGGTGGGATTAGCGTTGGATCAGGTGAGACCAAATTCAGGGGAGTCCCATGCTTTTGTGAGAAGCATCCTAGAAATGACATGATCTGACACCCCTAAACCAAGTTTTTTTCCCTACTCAATGGCATTTGTGTCATTCGAATTGCACATATTATCACTTCATTCATGGTTCCGACTTCAAATTCCCTATCAGCACATAAAGACATTTCATTCTAAATTATTCTAATTCACATAGAGGAGACTTAAACTTGGTGTAAGGTGGGCGGCAAACTGGCCGGCCTAACCCACGTATGCAAAATAAAGTTGTTTTTTGTTACATCCCCAGAAAATTGCTAGGAAGATAAATGTGGATTTGGTTGGAAATTCACTGTGGGATTTTTGCCAATTAAAGGAAAGGTTAACTTTTGGTAATGGAAATAATAGGAGGTTGTTTCTCTTAACACAAATAGAAGAACAAATTAATATTGAAAAAACAAAACCCATTTTTGGTATTGTCAAAGAAAATAGAATGCCTGGCTGTCCCTCTATATTTAGCAAACTTGACCTAGTTTGTTTTGGCCGTCCGAACTCAATGGTTTGGATAGAGAGAGCAAGCAAAAGAAACAATGTGCGGGATGAAGCTCTTGGTTCTTGAAGGACCAGAAACTAGCCTTCTGGTTTTTCCAGAGCCGAGGGTGTTTTTGTAACATATCATATCGATATCCCCTATTTGTCTAACCAATTTCTCAGGCTTGTTTCGTCTGTACTTCTTGGTTTCTCGGATCGAGTCGTGTACCAAAGTTTTGAAATTCTTTTGGTATGTTATGAGTGGTTTTTTCGAGGAATCCATGCAAGATTTGGGATGACAATTTGAAGGTGGTTGTGATCGGATTAGAGTTGACGAGGCAAAAGGAAAAGATGAATTGCTTCCAATGTTGCATGTCAGAAGAGAAAATCACCAGGAAGTCGTTAAAAAAGAGTATCAAGGAATACCATGACACCAAAACCTTAGCCTCTTTTGCTAACATTTCCTTCAAAACAGGTAAATTCTTCTCTTGCCGTATATCTTCCCTAAAAATGGAATGACGCCATTACATTGAATGACATACATACATACATATGATGTACATGATTACTCTCTAATAGGGAATGGATCTGTGACGAGGACTTCGTTTCCAATCGTTAAATCACGTTAGGGATTATATCATGCATTCATATATCAAAGATTTATGATGTCTTTCAACACTTTGGTCTATCAATCATGTATTCATATTCAAGGGCTGAAATTTATCAGTTTTTTTCTTTACATATGTACGTATACATACATATATTTATCTTTATGTGATGTGGAAGATTTTACTTGAAATATCCCCAATTTATTTGCCTTTGGTTTGATGGAGATTTGTCCTTTTGAAGGCTAAGATTGGTTTTACCGTATAAAAACCGACCTTCTCTCCTTGTTAAATTTATCACAAATTGTCCAATCTTCTGAAACTGAAAGTTGGCTGCAGATCCTAATCTATAATTTCTAGTATACTAGTAATACTTGGCAGTGTGGAACAGCTAGTTGAAACGGTTGGCCTCTAAGTTTGAGAATTTTAACCTGCAGACAGCAGCAGGAGGAAGTACATTGCCGAAGAGATAGCGAAGGTTGGCAAAGGAAATATTTCGGCTCAGATTTTTGCTTTCCGGGAACTTTGTGTTGCAACTAACAACTTCCATCCAGACAAATTGATAGGCGAAGGCGGTTTTGGGAGGGTTTACAAAGGGAAACTTGATGTCACAGAACAAGTACTATTTCCATCCATCTCTCGTCCTTCCATCCTTTTGTTTTTCCCCTCAACATACAATAATTTAGTTGAATCATAACCCCTACTGTTCGCTCGTTTCAGGTTGTTGCTGTTAAGCAACTAGACAGGAATGGATTCCAAGGAAACAGAGAGTTCCTTGTAGAAGTTTTGATATTAAGTCTTCTTCACCATCCCTACCTCGTCAATTTGGTTGGGTATTGCGCGGATGGCGATCAGAGGATTTTGGTGTATGAGTACATGGCCAATGGATCCCTAGAGGACCATCTTCTTGGTAAGCACCAATTTACTTATTTGCATTTGCACTTTCCAGGCACTTAAGTATATATCAGTAACATTTCTTAACACTTGTTTTCTGATCAACAACAAAACTTTGGATCTCAGATTTAACTCCAGGAAAAAAGCCTTTGGATTGGAATACTAGGATGACAATTGCAGCAGGGGCAGCAAAAGGACTTGAATACTTACATGAACAAGCGAATCCCCCTGTGATATATCGGGATTTCAAAGCATCCAACATACTTTTGGACGAGAACTTCAATCCAAAACTTTCCGATTTTGGTCTTGCAAAGTTAGGTCCAACCGGGGGTAAGACTCATGTATCGACCAGGGTGATGGGGACCTATGGCTACTGTGCACCTGAATATGCACTCACAGGGCAGTTGACAACGAAATCCGACATTTACAGCTTTGGAGTTGTGTTTTTGGAGATAATCACAGGACGGAGAGTCATAGACAATAACAGACGAACTGAGGAGCAGAATTTAGTTACTTGGGTATGTCCATAATTTTAAAACCTCTCAAGCTATTTCGGCAGAACTCTTTGAAATCCTCCTATAATGGCCAACTCCCCCTCAAATTAATAACATGATTTTTCGCAGGCACAACCATTATTTAAAGACAGAAGGAAGTTTACATTAATGGTAGATCCATTGCTAGAAGGGAATTACCATATCAAGGGTCTTTACCAAGCTCTAGCTGTTGCAGCAATGTGTCTCCAAGAAGAAGCTGCTACACGACCACTGATCAGTGACGTTGTAACGGCGTTAGAGTATTTAGCTGTAGATGGCGAAGCAGATGATGCGAATGGTGATGGAAATGTCTGACACTACTGATGGTGCTAGTGTTGAGGGTAAGGGGGTACATAATGAGAAAGGGAGCCTATGGATTCTAATGTTTCATGAAATCAAAATGTGATCATATCATGTTGTGTTGTAGCTAGCTAGGCTGCTCTGTAAAATACCAACTCCGTGCCATTACCGAAAAATTACTTCTTTTATCCACTTTTGGTGTTAGCATGCTGGTGAGATTTTTGGTGATCATTCTGTGATTAGAAGTTGTGACTTGTGACACAAGAATTGTAAGTTTGATCATAAAAGAATTGGGGAAGGGTGAGGCACTTTAACTAGGCAGGCTCAAATGGCCCAAAAAGAGAACAAGCTTACCCCAATTCAAATGGGAGAGATGTTCGAACTAGGATGCATGTAGTGGAAACATGGTCTTAGACAATTGATCTGACTCACATATGCATTTAATTCTTATGCAAACTGATGCAGAGATAGTATGATTATTTAGTTGGTTTCGAAAACTCCTTCAGTTTGTGCTAATTGTTGTAACAATGTCAAATTGCAGCCATCATTATCCTTCAATATAAAGTATAAATATTTAGGTGTGTTTGATTCATAGTGTGCATGAAGGATTAAATGAGTGTAGGAGGGTGAGAAACTTATCCATAGTGAGAATTTGATATGGCAATATTTGGGCCCGGCCTGTGCCCATGCCCACCCCTATGTCCAATAAACTCATGTATTTTGATCCTATATAATTAACAATTCACTATAGTAATATAATTACAATTAATTGTTTAATTATTATTCATATAATATTGTTAGTACTATCATAGGTGTGTGACCTCTTAGGTTTTAACTAAGACTAAGACTGGTAGTGAAATTAACTATAAGTTAATTTAATTTCACAAGTCATGAGTGACACCTACCAAAATGTCATGACAACTCAAATTAGATTAAAGTAATTGTGACTAATCATGATGCTTTTTCAAAACTTGATTGTAGTTAATATGCAATTCGGTTCTTTTTTATCAACCTTATCTCAATTAAATAATTGGGGAAGGATGAGGCACTTTGAATAGGTAGGCCCAAATGGCCCAAAAAAGAGAATAAGCTTGCCCTTGTTAAAGGAGTGAGGCTAGAACTAGGGTGCACGTGTGTATTTATTTTTGTGTAAACTGATGTATAGACAAGGTTCTAAAATATGTTAAGCGTTAATTGGGTGGTGAGTTGAAGGCTAGCGTCTACCGGCTAGGTGGGGCCTAAGTGACTAGGCAAATTTAAGTAAATTTATTACATATTTGTATAAATAAGTGCCTATTTATACTTATAAAAATGCATAATTGTATTAGGATACACAAAATAAAATGACATATAGATTAAAGTGTTTTAACATATTGAAAATATGGGGAACAAACAAATAATGAGTGTTCATCTAAGTATTCAACAAGTCTTTTATAATTTATTTAACAAAAACAAAATCTAAAATGGAAGTGGACAATTTTTTGTCTAAATGAGAGTTGGGACTTAGGCGAATGTCTAAGCAAGTCCAGACGGGCTACGCAGGTGCCTAGGCGGACTAGACGGACGTCTAAGGAGGTTTAGGTACCTTTTCTTAATTTTCAAATGCCTAGAGATTACCTAAAGAGTTGGCCAACCACCTAAAGCCTAAGTGGGGACTAGGTGAAGATTTTTAAAACAGCATGCATAAATAACATGATTTCATTATTTGGTTTCAAGATTATTTTCAGTTGTGTGCCAATTGTTGTAGCAATGTCAAATTCCATGCATTTTTATTCTTCAATATTAAAAAAGAAATGTGATTTCTACACACTTATTTTCTCTTTCTATCATTCTTAGTTTTTTTTTTCATTTACTTTATTTAAATTGAATGCGAGAAATAAACAGGGAATGAACATGAAAGGAAGATAGTGTGTGAAAATTTTTATAATTAAAAAAAAATGAGATGAACTTTGTTGATCGGGAAAATGAAAAAGGCACGAATTATTGTAAGGTTTTTTTGTGACCAGATCTAATAAAAAAAGGTGCTGTCAAATGGATGCAGCAGGTACGGTTTGTGGTAGTAAAGTTCGGTGGCAGAGAAACTATGTTTCAGTGCCAGGATTTCCCGCCAAAGAGCAGTAGGGTTTTGAAGAATACGAAAAAAGTACACTAGGGTTTTGCACTTTTTTTCCCCTCTCATTTAAAAAAGAGTGATGTTAGAGAGATTAAACTTTTAAAATAAATTTACAAACTAAATAATGTGTCATCAATAGAAAATAAGCACGTTAATCAATGCTTGACAATCCAATCATCAACAACTACATTATTTGATTTGTAAATTTGATTTAAAAAAATACTTCAAATGTCTAAAGTTAAACATGCATGAAAACACTAATCCTAGGAAAATTCTAGCCCTAACCCTAAGAACAACTCCAAAAGTTGGGGCTAAAATTTAGGTTTTAACCCAAAAACAGTTTTCCTCCTCCAATGATTTTCCCCTAAATTTAGTCCGAGATTATTAAAAAATAAATTTAGGCTAATTTTTCTTTTCGGTAAAATTTAAAAAAATCAAATTTATGTAGATTACCCAAGTTTATTTAAACATTTCAACCAAAAACTATTTAAATTCCTATAAATAATGAGAAATTACTAAACATACCCAATGAAAATATTTTAGATCTTTTTTTTATCTTTAAATTTGTCTATATTCGATCTCAGTTGTTGAATTTAATGTACTTGTAAATTAAATTAAAAAAAAAAAATTTGAATATGGACCATAGGATCAACCAACGACCCATTATTTCCAATCATTGGATCACAAAAAAAAAAAAAAACCGTTTGCTCGTGCAAGTGACTGACATGCGTCAACCTGCTAGCCCTTTGCGCTGATTGCCCTATCGCCTGTCGCGTGGAAGAGCATCGGGCACGTTAGTGCATCGAGACTGGACTTGGGTTCGGCACATCCACGTGCAGTGGTGAGCTAGAAAAATGGTTTGACCCCTTTTTTGGGTTAAATCTCCCCAAATTTTAAGTTATCTTAAAACTTATTTTAGAACCAATGGTTGGAGACAATTTAAGTGGATTTAAAACCTAATTTTAGATTTTAACCCAACAATTAAAAATGGTCAAACTTTATAAAGTGACCAATAATGAATCCCAAAGTCACCAGTAATGAAAACATAATGCTTATTATTATTATTTTTTAATATTTAGCAAGTAAATAGTTGCCATTTAAATGTAAAGAATGACTGTTCATTTTATTGTAATAGAGCCTTCAACTTTTAAGCTTCTCATTATCCGTAAATGTCCCACTGCCCTTAACACTTTTTTTAGTACTCCTTGAACCTACTGATTTACAACCACCCACACTAAAGACTTTCTAATTATTTGCCTCCATCCAATCAAGCGCTAGGCTCTCAACAACCAATGGAGCTCGCCTCTTCCAGGACTGGGCCCATCCCCTTGGCGTTAGGATGACCAAAAACAAAAAAGATGATTTTTTTCTACTCAGTTTAACTTTTTATCTCTAACAACACTTTCTATTTTAACAAATTTTGAATAATTTTTTTATTAACAATTCAAACCCAACTCACTCATTTTCTAAAACGGAAAGAGATCCTCTCCGGATCCCTTCCACCTAATCCTTCTCATCAAACAATCCAGACCCTTGAAATTTGATCCAACGACTAAAGTTATCATAACTTTAAAGTGGGTCCGTGTTTTTAGCCATTTGATCAATTTTTAAGGATCCAAATTGTTTGATAAGGAGAATTAGATGGAAGGGATTCGGAAAAGATCCCTATCCTTCTGAAACAACATTCTCTCTCTTTCTATTCTCCTTGATCAAAGGTCCACTCTTAAGTGTGATTATTTTTTAATATTTAGGAAGTGAATAATTGCTTGACTATTTATTTTGAATATTGATTATTTTATAACATCTCTTGCGATGATTTTTTTTTTAATTTAGCTCGTTAAAATAGAATTATAATTGTTTCACAGCATCTCTTGAAAATACGACTTTCGTATAGTAGAGTTTGTTCGTGTTCATTAAACATACTCTAACCAAACAAATTAGCAATTATTCATGATTCGATTATTGCCCAAGTTTCATCATCAGTGACAAGGTACAGCAATTAGCTTTGGTGGCACCAAACTACTTTTAATATTTTAGAATATTAGAATATAAGTGGCCCCAAGTACTCATCATTATAATTAAATTAATTTATATATGAAATTAGGAGAGACAACGTTAAACCCTAATCATCGCAGTCACTTCAAAATTACAGTTCTATCCTCTTTTCCTCTTCATGGGTTATCAAGGACCAAAAGGTTGTCAAGAAAAATAAAATAAATTTGTTAATAATTATTTATATAATACGTAAAATTACAATATTCACTTTTTTAACTCTAGTGCTAGTGGACTTCGAAATATTTTTTCACCTACTATATTTTTTTTTTCCATTTTTGGACATGAAATTAAAAAATTAATGAAAATAACAAATAAAAGTAAAGAAAACACAAAAGACATCTCATCGAGCTCAATTAGTTTTGAATCATTTTAAAACGAACATAAGTTCAAACTTTACAAAACCTAAACCCGAAATAAGTAAATTAAAATTTTTAAAATTTCAACTGTGTCCCAATAGACTTGTCCACAACTATACCATATGTTAACATCCAATTTGGGTGCAAGAGGCGAACACATTGACATTAGTTGGCCTAATCCTGTGTCTAAGGAAAAGAAGAAAATTCAATAAATCACATGTTTAGAATTAGACGACTCAAAAGTGGCACATCTGAAAAACTCCAAACCTCTTAGGCCTAAAATCGTAAATTTAGTATATTATTTTCAAATTTTAATATTAAGAAATTGCAGAGACAAATATTTGCCAGCCATATATGATATTATTCTAAATATTTGGCTTTCTTCCTAAATTTTCCGAGTTAGAAAACCCCAGGGTTTAGAGAGAGCCTCTGCAGTCTTCACCTCCTTCAATCTCTCTCTCTCTCTCTCTCTCTCTCATGGCCATGCTCTGCTCTTCTGCTTCGAACTCAGACCCACTAGTCTCCGACCTCAAATAACTCCCCCACAAACGCCACCTAATTTACAGGTTTGCCACCCAAAGCTTAGCAAGACGGCCGCTTCTATAAGCCACAGTTGGAGCAGTAAGCTGGGGAAAGTTGCTCTTTCCAACCTCATGGCTTTGGGGTTCTCCTCCATCCAGACCAGCCATTTAAGACCATCTTGCCCTTCTTATTTCTCCTTATTCCGCACCTGTCCCCGTTCGTCCAGGTCCCTGTGGACTCGTCCCAGGTGAACTTCAATCTTCACTCAAAGTTCACTACTTTCTGTTCTAGCTTTTTCTATTTGGGTTTTTTGAATATTCCACCATACGTATGTGATTTATTTATTTTTTGGGTTTTAAAAAATATTTTTTTTTTCCATATTAATGTTA